GGGGGACATACACACATGCCCTACAGCCCTGACCTCTCTTGGGGACATACACACACATGTCTCACAGCCCTGACCTCTGGGGGACACACACACATGCCCTACAGCTCTGACCTCTTCGGGGACATACACACATGCCCTACAGCCGAGATCTTGGGGACATACACACGCCTACAGCCCTGACCTCTTGGGGACACACACACACACATGCCCTACAACCCTGACCTCTTGGGGACACACACACACACATGCCCTACAGCCCTGACCTCCTGGGACACACACACATAGGCCACAGCCCTGAACTCTCTGGGGGACACACACACACACACACACATCCTACCCTGACCTCTTGGGGACACACACACACACACACACATGCCCTACAACCCCTGACCTCTTGGGACCGCTGCCCTGACCTCTTGGGGACGGACACACACACACACACACACATGCCTACAACCCTGACCTCTTGGGACACACACACACACATGCCCTACAACCCTGACCTCTTGGGGCACACACACACATGCCCCAACCCAGACCTCTTGGGGACACACCGCACACATGCCCTACAACCCCTGACCTCTTGGGGACACACACACACATGCCTACAACCCCTGACCTCTGGGGACACACACACACATGCCCTACAACCCAGACCTCTTGGGGACCACCGCACTTTGGCCACACCCACACACATGCCCTACAACCCTGACCTCTTGGGGACACACACACACATGCCCTACAACCCCTGACCTCTTGGGGACACACACACCACACATGCCCTACAACCCTGACCTCTTGGGGACACACACACACACCTCCAACCCCCTGACCTCTTGGGGACACACACACACATGCCCACAACCCTGACCTCTTGGGGACACACACACACACACACACACATGCTCTACAACCCTGACCTCTTGGGTACACACACACACACACACACACACATATGCCCACAACCCTGCCTCTTGGGGACACACACACATGCCCTACAACCCTGACCTCTTGGGGACACACACATGCCCAACCCTGACCTCTTGGGGACACACATGCCCTAACCCTGACCTCTTGGGGGACACACACACACACATGCCCTACAACCCTGACCGCCTGGGGACACACACACATGCCCTACAACCTGACCTCTTGGGACACACACACATGCCCTAAACTGACCACTTGGGGACACACACACACAACACACATGCCCTACAACCCAGACCTCTTGGGGACACACACACATGCCCTACATCCCTGACCTCTTGGGGGACACACACACACATGCCCTACAACCCTGACCTCTAAAGGGACACACACACACACACACACACACACACACACACACACACATACATGCCTAACCCTGACCTCTTGGGGACACACACATGCCCCAAACTGACCTCTTGGGGACACACACATACATGCCCTATAACCCTGACCTCTTGGGGGACACACACATACTGCCTATAACCCTGACCTCTTGGGGACACACACACGCACACATGCCCTATAACCCTGACCTCTTGGGGACACACACACACACATGCCCTACAACCCTGATGCCTCTTGGGGACACACACACACACACACATGCCTACAACCCTGACCTCTTGGGAACACACACACATGCCCTGCAACCCTGACCTTGGGGGACACACACATGCACATGCCCTACAGCCTACAGCCTACAGAGACACACACACACACACACACACACACACACACACACACACACACACACACACACACACACACACATACATGCCCCTATAACCCTGACCTCTTGGGGACACACACACACACACACACACACACATGCCCTACAACCCCTGACCTTGGGGACACACACACACACATGCCCAGCCCCTGACCTCTTGGGAACACACACATGCCCTGCAACCCTGACCTCTTGGGGGCGCACACATGCGGCAAACTCTTGGGGACAGACACTACAACCCTGACCTCTTGGGGGACACACACACACACACACATGCCTACAACCCTGACCTCCTGGAGGACACACACACACGCCCTACTGAGTTGTCTATACAACTATGAAATATGACATACTGTAGGTTATAAAATAAATTGTGATCATCAGAATGTGTAAAATGATTATAGAAACTTAGTTATATTGAGAAAAAATGTTAGCCTCACCTGTGGTGGTAGGGAGGTCAGGTGGATGGGGAGGGTGGATCAGGTGGATGGGGAGGATGGGCATATTATAATGATTTTCATAGTGGCATTGTATGACGTCATTGATCTGTGGTCAATGAATACTAAATAATTTAAGAATAGAATGCAAAACAAGCAATACTCAGCTACATCTTAAGGGTTACTTGTGCCAAAATTTGAAATCGAGTAAACTGCGATTAAGAGTTTTTCCAACTTCAAACGTGCATAACTTTGTTGTTTTTAGAGATACATCATTGATTTTTCATGCATTTTGAAGCTAAAGGACCGTACTTGCAGATGGTAGGTAACACGTCATGAAGTAATGTACTGGGTTGTTGCAATGTTGACTTGAAGCAACAAAACTCCCACCCGCTTACGGGTTTTTACTTTAATCAATATAGAGGCGTGAATCCGCCACAATAAAGAGAACGGGGAAGAGGAGGGATTCCGCTCATTGGCGGAGGCCGTGACATAGACTCTCATTGTCATTGGCGGGGGCGTGCGTCAGCCTGCTCCTCTCACTCCACTCACTGACGGGATGAGAGCACCCAACGACGTAAAAGCCGAGCCCATAATTTCCTGTCTGCCACAAATAGATGTTCTACCCTATTTTCAAAGGGCTTTCAACCTTATTTACAGAGTAGTAAGGAGATTATATCAACTACCACCATTTAGAGCTAGGCCGAAAATAGTGCTTACCAACAAAAAAAGGTTTTGCCTGGATGGTCTGAGTTACCTCTATGATGCGGGACGCCTCATATGATGTAGAGTGTGGCCACTATACTGACTCATCGTCCTCATGTGGCAGACCCATCCACCCTAGAGACTTAATTATTGTTATTTATTGTTAAGCATTTCTCTCATCATGGTCATAACCCCCTCCCCCCCAAAATAAAATTTTCTCAAAGGATCTACGCGATTCATGTGAGTAAGCCTAAAATGATGGAAAAACGAAATACTAGAAAAAATGGAGAAATCACATCCCTGAATATTATTACTAAGTGTTCGAGACGGGTGAGCACCGACCCTCTTGATCGGTGACAACAATGGTCTTCGAGTGTTGGCAACATTATTATGGAGAGCGATGTCAGCTGTTACCTCTCTGTAAATAAGAGACTGAGAATATGCTACTGTGCAACAGCTCATCTGGGATTGAATGTGGGATTTGGGGGGAAAATTAACTATTTTTGTATAACGTTTTATTACCCCGGCACCAAACTGAGAATACAGTAACATGTGAATGTTGGTGAATTGTATACTGTTGTTATAAAGGGATTGTAGGCTGCTGAGCTGTCCTCCCTCCTTAGTACTGTATACACAAGATGTAGTTTTGCACAGTGTCTTAATATAATACATATTATATTCCTATAATTCATTCATCTTAATCTATTTTATAATATATTCCTATAATAATAAAAATAGACTTTTCAGAACTGTAGCTATATTAGATTCATTCCAAATTCAAATAATTTAATTCAGTTTGAAAAACGAAAATCAGATGAATTATGCCAAAATCCGAATCAATGCAATCCGATTACTGAGTAAAGTGCAATTCAGATTCTACAGAAGATGAAAGGAAGACAACTGAACAACATCCTTTCAAATGAAAATTATCTTTCAAGATATGGTGACACCCCAGGCCATCCCAACCCGTGGCAAGGAGTCAACGAAGAACATGTTGTGGAAGATTCCATACAGTCTCTACCTATCTCTCCATTTACTGTTTGATGGCATTGATATTATGTGAAGGGTACAGAAGACGATGCTGAAATCAGGCACAGATGTGTAGCATTTCTAAGGACATTGTGTATGATGTTTCCAACAATTGGAAACAGACAAATGACCTACTTGAAAGAACTGATCACACAAACAAACAATTTGCTAAGTTGAATAAGTTAAAACTCTATTTCTCTATAAATCAGTTAATCACTTGCTTGACTATAATTATTTCCAGTTCCGGAATAATCAGAGATACAGCTTAAGGCACCCAGAGCTACTAAGAGCACCCCCATGCGCCCCTCCCAGTCCCAGACCTCCATAAAATATTACGGTGTGAAGGTGTGGAACAACTTACCCCCACCCATCCCAACAAACACTACGCTCCCTTCCTTTAAATCACATATTAAATTATATCAAATCGACTTTTAAATTTGTCCATAAATTTAATATAAATGTAAAAAATTAAATACAAATAATATTGAAGTGATAACCGTGGTAATATGTTGTTATTACCACCATGCTATTGTACTATTCCAAATGATACTAAATGTTACATAATACTTCCTTGATATAAATGTACAGTACATATCAGGTGCCTACAAGAGAGCTCAGGTTCTCAACAGGCTCAGCCATGTTAATATTATCGACTGTATCTGTGTGATTCTGGCTAAATAAACTGTTTCAATATCATTTTATCCACAGTAAACTGCCTATTAGGTAACTGACCCCCAGTAAACTGCCTATTAGGTAACTCACCCACAGTAAATTGCCTACTAGGTAACTCACAGTAAACTGCCTATTAGGTAACTCACCCACAGTAAACTGCCTATTAGGTAACTCACCCACAGTAAACTGCCTATTAGGTAACTCACCCACAATAAACTATACGCTCTAGTTGTTGTATTCACCACCAGATGGTCACCAGGGTGCAGGTGTTCCCTGCTACAGCACCCTGTAATGGTATTGTAACTCCCAGACCTGGACACACTAGCGGCCCCTGAATATGGGGGGGCACTTGCCCCAAATGTCGTGCATTAATCCAATATTAACTGTATCATAACATAGTACAGTACAGAACTGTACCGTAAGACATAACTTACCTGTACTCCTGTAATTTTAGGTGGTAGTGATGGTTTGGAGCTGCTGGGTGGTCTAGGTGGTGCAGGCTTATTCCCAACAGAGGGCTTGTTGATTAACACTGGCTTACTGGGAAGGGTTGGGTGGTAGCCACTCTCAGAGGGTGTTGGGGTGTGTATTTCATCCTGCAGTCAAATGATCTTACAGTACTTCAAGCAGTACAGTACAAAGCAATACAGTACTTCAAGCAGTACAGTACAAAGCAATATATAGTGCTTCAAGCAGTACAGTACAAAACAATACAGTACTTCAAGCAGTACAGTACAAAGCAATATATAGTGCTTCAAGCAATATAGTACAAAACAATATATAGTACTTCAAGCAGTACAGTACAAAGCAATATATAGTACTGTACTAAAGACAATATTAATGATGAGGTTTAAAAGAATGGAGCCACAGTTTCAAGGAGGAATCACCACACCTATGTTGCTTCATTTCCAGATTACAGCATTGGAGCCTCTTTAATAGGCCCTTGTTCCATGAGGTGAGTTTACCTGTAGTTTCTCCCCCTAAACTTATGGCACCTGAAGATTATCCACCCTAATGCTACCCAACCCTGATCTAACCTAACGCTACCCAACCCTACCCTAAACTAAAATAAGAACATAAGAATGGAGTAAACTGCAGCGGGCCTATTGGCCCATACTGGGCAGTCCCATTTACACCCAACCCCTATCGCTCATATAGCCATCCAACCTATGTTTGAAGTTATCCGGCGTATTTGAGTAAATGATGATGTTTGGTAACTTGTTCCACTCGTCCACTACTCTATTTCCAAACCAATTTTTACCTATTTCGCACCTAAATCTAAATTTGTCTAATATAAAACCATTGCTACGAGTTCGCTCCTGGTTGGATAGTTCAAGTACCTTTCTTATGTCCCCTTTGTTTAGCCCTGACTTCCATTTATACACTTCTATCATATCGCCCCTCACTCTTCTCTTGAGGGTGCAAATAAAAATCGCTAACCTGTCTTGCACTCAAGGTTCCTAATGCCGGGATTAGTCTTGTCATTCTCTAAATTCTTTCCAAGGATTCTATCACACTCTGCAATATGGTGACCAGAACTGAACTGCGTAATCAAGTGAGGTCTCACAAGTGCAAGATATAGTTTAAAGATGACCCCGTAGTCTTGTAACTAACACTCCTTTGTATGAACCCAAGTACAGTACTGTATTAGCCTTGTCTCAAGCAAATAGTACACATTGTTTACTTGGAATCCATACTTATCATTACTCCTAAATCTTTCTCACATTCGGAATTCTCAATAACATCGTTGTTCATCTGATATCTGGTTTCTCTGTTTACATCTCCTAGACTAAGTACTTTAGATTTGTCCACATTGAATTTCATCTGCCATTTTTCAGAGCATTCAAAAAAATTTTTTAGATCCTCCTTTAGTTTTGGAGTCCTCGTCAGATTTAATTACACGTCCTATTTTAGTGTCATCAGCAAATTTACTTATGTTGCGGTCTACGCCAATATCTATTACGTAAATGTATATAATAAATAATATTAGTCCAAGTACTGAGCCTTGGGGTACTCCACTAGTGACGTTATCAATCGGATTTAGTGCGTTAATGCTCACTTGCTGTTCCTGCCCTGTAACACGCCCTAATCCGAATATCTCCTCAATGCCACGAGCCTCCACTTTTCTTATTAGTATTTCATGGGGACTCTGTCGAAGGCAGATATGCCACATCATAATTGTGCCCTCGTCCACTGGCATGAAAAGTGTTAACCCAGCAAGCGGGTTGGTCGCTGGCAGTTACTACCCGCATGGGGTTAATTGAGAAAAAGCAATATTTCCAAAATATAATTAAAAAAATAAGCGGGAAGCGAGGCGGATGTTCTGGAGCGTCCTCCGAGGCGAAGGGTTAACAGATTAATTAGACATGAAAGCCCGCTAGGAAGCCATGTTGGGAATCAATGATCAACTTGTGCTTCTCCATGTGATTTTGAATAGAGTTTGAAATGATTGCTACCAGTAATTTGCCTACAATTGATGTTACCGGTAAGCTGATTGGACGATAGTTAGAGGATAGTGATCTATCTCCCTTCTTGAAAATCGGTATATTACATTCGCTATCCTCCAGGATTCTGGTACTATACTCGTTTTTAAGGACAGGTTAAACAACTTTGCTAAGGGCATATTAAGCTCTTCCTTACATTTTTTTTTTTTTTTTTTTACGGGAATTAGCCCCCGGGCACAGGTCAAACATTCCTTTAATACTCTGGCAAATATCTCATCGGGACCTGAGGACTTATTAGGCTTTAGTTTGTCTATTTGCTTACTAACATCGTTACTAGTCACTACTATCTCGCTTAATCTATTTTCTTCACTATCACTGTATAGAGTCGGTGCCTTGGGTATCATGTTTAAATTTTCAGTGGTGAAAACTTGAAAAATATCTGTTCAGATTATTGCTCATTTCTCCATCATTATCAGTTAGCTTCGCGGTATCTGACTGCATTGGTCCAATCTTTTCTCGTGTTTTAGTTTGATACATTTGATAGAATCCCTTGGGGTTTGACTTCGCCGCCCTTGCTACCTTCAGTTCATTATTCCTCTTTTGCATCTCTAGGTCTTAACCCTGCCAGCCAATACCTGATAATAATCTCGGAGGTAGACTTCACCAGTTTATTCTCCTGCCTATAGCCTTCCTTTGTCCAATAATGTTCTTTAAATAATTATTTGTCCATTTAGAGTCATTGTTGTTTGATCTGAGTTTTCTGTATGGTATGTTCTACCTTTGTGCATTAAGTAACTCATTATTTATATTGTTGTGGAACTCGTCAACCTCAGATCTCGTGATCAGGTCATCCTCAACCGTCATATTTTGTGAGGATAAAGTTGTCAGGTCTCCAGGTAAAGTGAGGTTGCCCTCTGTGGGTACATTGTGTGAGGTCATGTAAGCCATCCCCAAACGTGATACCCCTCCCAGCTGCCTTTTCAACCTATCAAAGTTTGCCCTTCTGAAATCTGGGACTTTAATGTAATTTTCCTTTCGTCTGCCATTAAATTCTAATTGAAATCTTGTTTCTTTGTGATCGCTGTTAGCAAGTCGTTCCCTACCTCGACATTACTAACGAGGTTTTCTCTGTTTGACAGAACTAAATCGAGTTATGTATAGTATTACCCCAGGTGGGTTTGGTTATATGTTGGCTTAGGAAACAGTCCTGAACTATGTCAAGAAAATCCTCTGATTCTGAGTTACCTGTAAGGTCAATCCAATCTATTTGGCTTAAGTTAAAGTCGCCTACTATACAGACTTTGCTATGTACCTGGTGTAGATGATGGTGTACCTGGTGTACCTGGTGTAGATGATGGTGTACCGGTTGCAGATGATGGTGTACCTGGTGTAGATGATGGTGTACCTGGTGTAGATGATGGTGTACCTGGTGTAGATGATGGTGTACCTGGGTGATGATGGTGTACTGGTGTAGATGATGGTGTACCTTAGTGTCAGATGATGGTGTACCTGGTGTAGATGATGTGTGTACCTGGTGTAGATGATGGTGTACCTGGTGTACCTGTTGTAGATGATGGTGTACCTGTGTATGATGTCCTGGTGTACCTGTTGGAGATGATGTGTACCTGGTGTAGATGATGGTGTACCTGGTGTAGATGATGGTGTACCTGGTGTAGATGATGGTGTACCTGTAGATGGTGTACCTTAGTGTACCTGTGTGGTGATGGTGTGTGTAGATGATGGTGTGACCTGGTGTAGATGATGGTGTGACCTGGTGTGGATGATGGTGTAACCTTTCCTCACACACCACACCTACACACCACCACCACCTCACCACACCACACCACACACACACACACCTCACACCACACCACCCCACACCACACCACCACCACACCTCACACCACACCTCACACCACACACACACCACACACACACACACACACACCACCTCACACACCATTCCCTAACTCACTATGCTGCAGAATCACCACATTCTTGACCTAAAAGCTGCATTTGATATTGCCAATAGGCAGCAGTGTTGTGAACTAGCCCAAAACGGATATGGGAGGTAGGCTGTTACACTGGATAAGTCAGTTACCTAACCAACAGAAAGAGGCTGCTGCACTGTTTTCGCAGGTTACAAAAGTAAGATTAAAGATATGCAACTTGGTACCTCAAGGTGGAGTACACCCCCACTTTCTTCAATGTTCTTATGAATGCATTATTAAATTTATGCCAGACAACCCCAGCAATATCTCAATCCCAAGCAATGCTGATGATATTCTTCAACATACTAAATTCGCCGTGAGAAATGCAAAACCACCTGAACCGCTGTATCGCAGCCTGTGAGATCCTTGGTCTTGTGTCTTCACTGAAAAAGCAATGTGATTTCAACAAAACAACTGGTAACACATAAGCGTGGCCCCGCCAAGATTCAAGATAGTAGCACAACACCAATTGACCCATGTTATTTCTTTTAAATATCGTGGTGTTTTGTCCTTGGCCCTACCTGCCATACAACAGCTAACGCAATGCTGACAGACTGGAACCTCTTAGGGGTGTGGCGGGGTACAGCCCGCACTATGGTGCTAATATTAGGACTGTTAAAACAATAACTTTACCTGAGCTGTATAAGATCTCTGATAGATTACCCACGCCTGCCAGCCTGGTCGCCCGTGACAGAATGTCGTTGACAAGCTAGAGAAAATGCAAAATAAAGCCTCAGAGGTATCCTAGGATATCCCCGCGGGCACTAAGTGCCCAGCCTTGAGGGAAGAACTGGGGCCCCATGCAGTGTTAAAAGATAGAATAGTGAAGTCCCAACCTCGCAGTAGACACAGAGGCTATAACGTGGTGATCCTGATAACATTGTTTCCTTAAAATTGCTAGAATAACCGCTGAACCATGGGACACAGGTGGTCTAAATGAGATCCCAGAAACTACACAGCTACACATTTGAAGATGTTTTGGACTACACCACCTGCAAAGTTGAGACACAACAGTGCTTCCTGCCACCACAGACCAGTTCCTTCGATATCACAATGCCGACATATCCGCCTAAAAATTAATTGGCCTGGCATTTGTTTGTACAGCACTGCCAAATTGGAGCTCTTGAACACATACACACTCTACAGACTGATGATAATATCACACAGACCATCTACACTGTTGGATCTCCTAACACCGCCTGTGGAGGCTGGAAGTGCTATTGTTGGCTTTCAACCTGACAGTAATATAGTGAAAAGGAAGTTAGGAGTAACAACTGGGCATTCACTCTACAAGCTTCAGTGGTTGCCATACTCACAGCTGTAAATTCACTGAAACCACTGTACTGGCAGTCTCATCATCACTGACTCTCTCTGCATCCTCCACTACTTGCCCTTGGCTTTTCGACTCAGGTTGTCACGCTCTTGTCTCTGAAGCCAGACACAAATATGCGTGCCTTGTTGACCGGGGTGTCAAGGTCAAGCTGTTGTGGATCCTCTCACATAGGCCTCATAAAACATGACAGGATTTGATGCCTGTAAACCGTCTAACAGGCACCGTTGAATACAATTTGGGTCATCCAAAAGAACCTAAAACTGTAAGTGGGAAAGAACTTGTTGATGTGAGGTTTGGCCTTGCGTGAGCCTTTAGTGCAAGCAGGCACTAGTCGATCCATGAACTACCATGATGAATGTATCCAAGTAAACATATATAGGTAAGTAACAAAATCACTATGAGTACAAGATGTTTCCGCTAAATTAAGGAATTTGAATATAAAATGCCTCTGTGATATGTTCCTCAAGCAGATAAACAAGACTAAATATGAAATGTGTGGCAAACATATAACCTGCAGCTTAACTTCTTATCCTCAACTGTGTGAAGATAAAGACAGCACAAGAACAGAGTCCAGCTTTTTCTGTGTGTGTGAAATAGCAACACTTCATCTCTAATGGCAAGATAACCCGACATGTGGGTGTATCCACTTTTGCACTTAGTAACTATATCAGTTCTCATGTTGCAAAACCGAATACACAATGTCTTGAATACTTCTCACGTAAATGTGAATAACAAAGTGTAAAGGCCAGACATACTGCCTCCTGCATACCAGCACTCACGCATTTGTGAATGGGATTACCCTTTATGTATAGAACCTTAAACAAATAATGTAATTGAAATGTTGATGGCAACATTCAGTGCCATAATATCTGTAGCGAGAGTTAATTATTATGACCCTTGTAAACTCTACTCTGTAATCCTTTTGAGCTACCACTCAGAGATAGTGTAGAATTGCACAATAAAAGTAACCTTTGGCATAAAATAAAATCAATCACACACACCACACAGGCAACAAATAAAAATCAATCACACACCACACCACACCTCACACCACACCTCACACACACCCTCACCACACCTCACACACCACACACCACACCACACACCTCACACCTCACACCATACCTCACACCACACCTCACACACCACACCACACCACCTCACCTCACCATACCTCACACCACCACACCTCACACCACACCACACACACACACACACACCTCACCACACCTCACATTTCACACCACACCACCTCACACCACACCACACACCTCACACCACACCACACCTCACACACTTCACACCACACCTCACACCTCCACGCACCTCACACCTCACACCACACCTCACACCACCTCACACACCCACCACACCTCACACACCACATCACCACCACACCACACCTCACACACCTCACCTTCACCACACACCTCACACCACCTCACACACTTCACACCACACACCTCACACACCTCACACCTCACACCACACCTCACACCACACCACACCCTCACACCACACCACACCTCACACCACACACCACACAACTCTCACACCATACAGTACACCTCTCACACCCACACCTCCACCACACCACACACCTCACACACCACTCACTACCTCACACACCTCACCACACCTCACACACACACCACACCTCACACACCCTCACACACAGCACACCTCACACACACACCTCACACCACACCTCACACCACACCTCACACCCACCACCTCACACACACCTCACACCACACCTCACCACACCACACCTCACACATCACACTTCACACCACACCTCACCACACCTCACACACACCACACCTCACACACCACACCCTCCACACCACACCACACACCACCACAGCACACCTCCCACCACACCTCACACCATACCTTACACCACCACACCTCCACCACACCCTCACACCTCACACACACCACACACCCCACACCACATCTCACACACCTCACACACACCACACCTCACACACCACACCTCACACCACACACACCTCACACCACACACCACACCACACCCTCACACCACACCTCCCACACCACACACACCACACCACCTCACACCCACACCTCACACCATACCTCACACCACCACCTCACATCACCTCACACGACACGACACCACACCACACCTCACCCACCACACCTCACACCACACCTCACACCATACCTCACACCTCATACACCTCACACCTCATACACCCCTCACACCACACACCACACCTCTCACACCACCACACCTCACCACACCTCATACACCTCACACCACACCTCACACGACACCACACCTCACACCCACACCTCCCCTCCACACCTCCACACCACACCTCACATGACACCACCTCACACCACCACACCACACCTCACACCCCTCACACGACACCACACCTCACACACCACCTCACACCCACACCTCCCCTCCACACCTCACACACCCCACCTCACACACCACACCCTCCCACTCCACACACCTCACACCACACCTCACACACACACCACACCTCACACGACACCACACCTCAAACGACACCATACCTCAAACGACACCACAAATCACACTACACCTCACACCACACCTCACACCACATACCTCACAACACACCATACCACTCCTCACACCACCTCACCATACCACTCCTCACACCACCTCACCATACCACTCCTCACACCACCTCACCATACCACTCCTCACACCACCACACCATACCACTCCTCACACCACCTCACCATACCACTCCTCACACCACCTCACCATACCACACCTCACCTCCTACTACTACTACTACTTTGCTGTTACTCGGGATGGAGTGTGACGATCATCCAGCTATGATAGAATGATATGAGTTACGTATTAGGGATGTGCAGTGTCCTGCACAATGGCACCCAGTCTGAGTTCTTCCCCACCCAAACGGGGGTTAAACAAGGGTGTGCATTGGCACCAACTCTCTTTTTCATTTTCTTGGCTGCCGTCCGTACTCATGCCAGTGCCAATTTAGCCGTCGGGGTGGACATCGAGTACCGGCTGAAGGGTCTTTTCAACGTAAGACGACTCCAGGCGGGAACAAAGGTGTCGGCAGCTTCCATTACTGAACTTAGGTATGCAGACGACCTCACCCTTGTCACTCACACTGATCGTGAACTACAGGAGATCGTGAACACCTTAGTATATGCGCATGCACACTTCGGCCTTGAGGTGAATGTACGTAAGACTCAAATTCTCTTTCAACCTGCCCCTGGTTCAGCCACACCTCCACCATCCATCCAGCTTAAGGTACTATCCTCTCTAATGTTACCCACTTTCGGTATGAGACATGGGTCACATACAGGAGGCACCTCAAGGAACTTTAAAACTTTCACCAACGTAATCTACGTTCCATCCTCAGAGTTCGCTGGGAAGACAAGAGAACAAATGCCAGTATTCTCGCTGACACCAACTGTAGGAGCATCAGGGCTACCATTATCCATGAACAACTACGCTGAACTGGCCATATTATCCGCATGTTACCCGTATCAATGACAGTCACCTAACGAATAATAAACGTACCGCATGCGGGCAACTGAAAAGGTATCAGGATAGTCTTAAGACAAACCTGAAAAATTGCCGAATTGACTTCTTCACCTTGGAGACGATTACTCCACACCTTAACGCTTGGGGGATCACCACACGAGAAGGTGCAACATCTTTGAACGATCCTGCCGGTCCCGTATCGGCTCTTCAGTCACCTCAGAACTCACCAACGTAGGTGACATCCTTAATAGCTCATATTATTATATCATAGCTGGATGATCGTCACACTCGATTCCGAGGGTGTGTGTGTGTGTGTGTGTGTGTGTGTGTGTGTTAACGACACTGTGTACCAACCATATATCTTACTCAGCTTCAAAGGTGTGATAAATTATATGATCTTGTGTACAGTAGTTGGCCTTTCACTCGCACACCAAATCTTCTGACAAAATCCTACATTAGAAGCTTCACATTGTAATGAACCCAAGATCAAACACACTTTCCTCTCCAGATCTCACTGAAGATAAATATATTCCAAATTCTTCACATGCGGAATATAAAATGCTTATTATTAATTACAACAGCAGTTCTTATGATTATCTTACAATGATTACTGCTGTACCATAAAGCTTATAATGATTACTGTACCACAAGGCTTACAATGATTACTGTACCATAAAGTTTACAATGATTACTGTACCATAAAGCTTATAATGATTTCTGTACAAAGATTACAGTACACTATCAACAAAGAGAGCAAATGATAGCGGCGCTACTCACCACAGGTGGTCTAGGGGGCGCGGGTTTACTGGCCGGGCTAGGGGGCACAGGCAGAGGTCCTCTTGATGGTCGATCACTTGGAAAAGAAGGCTTGGACGTGGCGGGGGGCGGCGGGGGAGCTGGATTACTTTTACTACTAGGCTGTTGGACCAACTAAACATTACTACTTATTTTCTGGGTGTTCTTAAGTATAATTGTCAATACAGTATAGGAAGACACAAATATACAGTATAGGAACACACTAATATACAGTATAGGAAGACACTAATATACAGTATAGGAAGACACTAATATACAGTATAGGAAGACACTAATATACAGTATAGGAACACACTAATATACAGTATAGGAACACACTAATATACAGTATAGAATAATGGTTGACCCTCGTGTAACGAGGATTGCCGGCCCAAGGGCCACCTAGGCATGAATTTGTTTAAGGTGTAGAAGCGGTCGCCAACACAACAACCACACCCTAAGTTAACGAGCAGTATGACCCAGTGTTTAAGGTGTAGAAGCGGTCGCCAACACAACAACCACACCCTGAGTTAACGAGCTGCATGACCCAGTGTTTAAGGTGTAGAAGCTGTCGCCAACACAACAACCACACCCTGAGTTAACGAGCTGCATGACCCAGTGTTTAAGGTGTAGAAGCGATCGCCAACACAACAACCACACCCTAAGTTAACGAGCAGTACGACCCAGTGTTTAAGGTGTAGAAGCTGTCGTCAACACAACAACCACACCCTAAGTTAACGAGCAGTATGACCCAGTGTTTAAGGTGTAGAAGCTGTCGCCAACACAACAACCACACCCTAAGTTAACGAGCAGTATGACCCAGTGTTTAAGGTGTAGAAGCTGTCGCCAACACAACAACCACACCCTAAGTTAAAGAGCAGTATGACCCAGTGTTTAAGGTGTAGAAGCTGTCGCCAACACAACAACCACACCCTAAGTTAACGAGCAGTATGACCCAGTGTTTAAGGTGTAGAAGCTGTCGCCAACACAACAACCACACCCTAAGTTAACGAGCAGTATGACCCAGTATTTAAGGTGTAGAAGCTGTCGCCAACACAACAACCACACCCTAAGTTAACGAGCTGCATGACCCAGTGTCAAGGAATAGTCCAGGAAGACCGGACAACTCGCCAACTGCACTGGCTAACTATTATGCAGGAACACGATCCGGAAATCGATTAACATCCAGGTCCACAATTATTGCTGGGTAGACAGAGGCAAATGGCATAAAGAAACTTGCCCATAGTTTCACCCTGCCCGAGGATAGAACCTGGGTCCGCTCGCTTGCGAGGCGAACAGGCTAACCACTACCCCACAGGTCGTCGCAACATACAGTATATAAAGACATTATCTACACCAATATGTAAGCAGTTTACCCCCTAAAATATTCCCGTAATATAATCATGTATATTAAAAATGATGAAATAGAGGAACAATGAGGATTGATTCTAACCCTTTGAGTATGATGACATGTTGAGAGGTTTAAGTCATTGTTCTTAACGTTAAGTCATTGTTCTTAAGGTTAAGTCATTGTTCTTAAGGTTAAGTCATTGTTCTTACGGTTAAGTCATTGTTCTTACGGTTAAGTCATTGTTCTTACGGTTAAGTCATTGTTCTTAAGGTTAAGTCATTGTTCTTACGGTTAAGTCATTGTTCTTACGGTTAAGTCATTGTTCTTACGGTTAAGTCATTGTTCTTAAGGTTAAGTCATTGTTCTTAAGGTTAAGTCATTGTTCTTACGGTTAAGTCATTGTTCTTAAGGTTAAGTCATTGTTCTTAAGGTTAAATCATTTATTCTTAAGGATTAAGTCGTTGTTCTGCAGTTAAGTCATTGTTCTTATGGTTAAGTCATTGTTCTTAAGGTTGAAGTCATTGTTCTTACGGTTAAGTCATTTGTTCTTAGGTTAAGTCATTGTTCTTAGGTTAAGTCATTGTTCTTACGGTTAAGTCACATTGTTCTTAAGGTTAAGTCATTGTTCTTACAGTTAAGTCATTGTTCTTACGGTTAAGTCTGTTCTTAAGGTTAAGTCATTGTTCTTAAAAGGTTAGTCATTGTTCTTCTGGTTAAGTCATTCTTAAGGTTAAGTCATTATTCTTGCAGTTGAAGTCATTGTTCTTATGGATTGAAGTCATTGTTCTTACGGTTAGAGTCATTGTTCTTCAAGGGATTGAGTCATTGTTCTTACGGTTAAGTCATTGTTCTTAAGGTTAAGTCATTGTTCTTAAGGTTAAGTCATTGTTCTTACAGTTGAAGTCCATTGTTCTTAAGGTTAAGTCATTGTTCTTACGGTTAAGTCATTGTTCTTAAGGTTAAGTCATTGTTCTTATGGTTAAGTCATTGTTCTTACGGTTAAGTCATTGTTCTTAAGGTTAAGTCATTGTTTTTAAGGTTAAGTCATTGTTCTTAAGGTTAAGTCATTGTTCTTAAGGTTAAGTCATTGTTCTTACGGTTAAGTCATTGTTCTTAAGGTTAAGTCATTGTTCTTATGGTTAAATCATTGTTCTTACGGTTAAGTCATTGTTCTTAAGGTTAAGTCATTGTTCTTACGGTTAAGTCATTGTTCTTAAGGTTAAGTCATTGTTCTTACGGTTAAGTCATTGTTCTTACGGTTAAGTCATTGTTCTTATGGTTAAGTCATTGTTCTTAAGGTTAAGTCATTGTTCTTAAGGTTAAGTCATTGTTCTTACGGTTAAGTCATTGTTCTTAAGGTTAAGTCATTGTTCTTAAGGTTAAGTCATTGTTCTTACGGTTAAGTCATTGTTCTTACGCTTAAGTCATTGTTCTTATGGTTAAGTCATTGTTCTTAAGGTTAAGTCATTGTTCTTAAGGTTAAGTCATTGTTCTTAAGGTTAAGTCATTGTTCTTACGGTTAAGTCATTGTTCTTATGGTTAAGTCATTGTTCTTAAGGTTAAGTCATTGTTCTTAAGGTTAAGTCATTGTTCTTAAGGTTAAGTCATTGTTCTTACGGTTAAGTCATTGTTCTTAAGGTTAAGTCATTGTTCTTATGGTTAAGTCATTGTTCTTACGGTTAAGTCATTGTTCTTAAGGTTAAGTCATTGTTTTTAAGGTTAAGTCATTGTTCTTAAGGTTAAGTCATTGTTCTTAAGGTTAAGTCATTGTTCTTACGGTTAAGTCATTGTTCTTGGACTGGGCTCATTGTTCTTAAGGATTAGTATTTTGGAGTTAAAGTCATTGTTCTTAGGGTTAAGTCATTGTTCTTAGGGTTAAGTCATTGTTCTTAGGGTTAAGTCATTGTTCTTAAGGTTAAGTCATTGTTCTTACGGTTAAGTCATTGTTCTCGTGGCCTTAAGTCTTCCTATTTAATGGTTAAACTTTAGGGTTAAATCATTGTACTGTTGGGGTTAAGTCATCATACTGATGGGGTTAACTCATCATACTCAAGGGGTTAAGTCATCATACTCAAGGGGTTAACTCATCATACTCAAGGGGTTAACTCATCATACTCAAGGGGTTAATCATCATACTCAAGGGGTTAACTCATCATACTCAAGGGGTTAACTCATCATACTCAAGGGGTTAACTCATCATAGGGATGAGGTTAAGTCATCATACTCAAAAGGTTAAGTCATCGTACTCAAGGTGTTAAGAAATGATTGAGTGTTTAAGGGTTTCAATATTAAGTAATGCCAACACACGGGGTTCCAACACTAAACTGCCTGACCTTCCCATTGTCTTAAGTCCAATTTGTCAACACTACTGTATGCTGTACTGTAACAACTATTGTGGACCAACCCCTTTGTTATGACCAAGACAGGGGCACGAGTTGTCTAGACCAGTGCTATTCAACCTGGGTGGACGAGATGTGAAAGGATGTCGAAACGTGTGACTGTGTGTGTGTGTCGCCTGCATTGTTTCTATGGGAACATGACGTCACCTGTAATATTTGAAACGCCAACCAATGCGACAAGTGTGCTGGGAAGTGGATTAGGTTTTAAATTTCAAAATCAGTGCCCCCTGAGCAACGCTCTTGTGCATTATGCAGAAGACTCGACAGCAGCACCCTTATCCACTACCTCCTAAGATGTCCCCACACACAACGCTTCCGTGACGCCTGCTGGACCACCACTCCACGACCCCCTGACGGAGACACGAAGATCCTCCCCATACTGGCCAGATATTATGTAAATAATATTGATTATGTGTTGAAGGAATATCCTTCCTTCCTTAGGCTTTAGTAAGTCCCTTTATAATATTTATACTGTATATACTTGTGACACTTGCCAGATGCTTCTGGTGTCATTGTACAGAGGTACCTAGTGACAGCATTAGGGTCCCGCTTCCTCTATCAAGGAATAAACAATTGAAATTGATATTGAACTCAGTGCCCAATTGACTGTCGTGGAGAGAGTAGGTAAGGTAGCGTTTCACTCTATTCCTCACGGCTTGTATTAATATACCATGAAGCTGGACGAAACAACAGATTTAGTCTAAGACCACAGTTGAACATTATTTGTGCTGCCTCCATCTGGGGGTTGAAACAACAGAGGAGAACAGTTTCCACAACCTGAATTATTTTATTTGAAGGGGGAATTGAATGGTCAAAATGCAAATCCGTCACTACAAGGGTAAGGTTGGAGCAATCAACGGTGTTGCGGCGAAAATCCAAGTCGTATCACCTAACTGCTTCAATTCACTGTGATTCACCGAGAGGCCCTTGTTGCTAAGCGACTGAAAGAAACTGAAACAGCCAGTGAAAAAATAATTTTGAGCTCCTTCCCGATGACATAGTTAAAATTATGAATTATAAGCAGACTCATGGAAAAAAAAATGTTTGGTGAGTTGTGCAAAGTCTATATGGATGCCAACTTCAAACTGCTCTTTCATGCCAAGGTGCGGTGGTTATCCCGTGGGAAGGTTCTGAACAGAGTGCTACTAGCAATGAGAGAACAGTTGCGTGTTTTCTTCACAGAGGAAGCAAACCCCATGGCAGTTAAACTTCACGATAACTTTTGACTGACCAAGTTGTCATACGTGGCCTCAATTTTTTATCATTTGAACAAACTCAACATCAGTCACCAAGGCAAAGGTCGGTATATCTGTAATGTCACAGCAATAGGAAAAATAAATGGACTCAAACTGAAGGTGCAAAAGTGGAGAGACAACGTAGAAAAGAACAATTTGTCTGATTTCCCGACTTTTGATAACTTTATGAGACAATATGACTGGGAACACGGAGAGCAGGCAACAGAAGTGGAGCCACTCGAGATGCCTGCTTGTTAATCACCACACCTTGATCCAGGAAAACCTCAACGTGAATTTCCCAGGGAGTGAGAACTAATACCTGTACTGCAACATGTGGTGAGAGCTAACACCTGTACTCCAACATGTGGTGAGAGCTAACACCTGTACTCCAACATGTGGTGAGTGCTAACACCTGTACTCCAACATGTGGTGAAAGCTAACACCTGTACTCCAACATGTGGTGAAAGCTAACACCTGTACTCCAACATGTGGTGAGAGCTAACACCTGTACTCCAACATGTAGCGAGAGCTAACACCTGTACTGCAACATGTGGTGAGAACTAACACCTGTACTCCAACCTGTGGTGAGAGCTAACACCTGTACTCCAACATGTGGTGAGAGCTAACACCTGTACTCCAACATGTGGTGAGAGCTAACACCTGTACTCCAACATGTGGTGAGCGGCACACCTGTATCTAAATATGTGCAGAGAGCGCAACACTTGTATCTGAACCTGTGCTGGAGAGCCAACACCTGTATTTCCAACAACATGTGGTGAGAGCTAACACCTGTACTCCAACATGTGGTGAGAGCTAACACCTGTACTCCAACATGTGGTGAGAGCTAACACCTGTACTCCAACATGTGGTGAGAGCTAACACCTGTACTCCAACCTGTGGTGAGAGCTAACACCTGTACTCCAACATGTGGTGAGAGCTAACACCTGTACTCCAACATGTGGTGAGAGCTAACACCTGTACTCCAACCTGTGGTGAGAGCTAACACCTGTACTCCAACCTGTGGTGAGAGCTAACACCTGCATCTAACATGTGGCAGAGCTAACACCTGTACTCCAACCTGTAGAGAGCTAACACCTGTATTCCAACCTGTGGTGAGCTACCACCTGTACTCCATGGTGAGAGAGCCAACACCTTGCATTCAACATGGGTGAGAGAGCCAACACTGTATTCCAACATGTGGTGAGAGCCAAACCTGTACTCCAACCTCCGTAAGGAGAGCCAACACCTTCAGGACCCCAACTCCTGTGGTGAGAGCTTTCAACACCTGTACTCCAACACGTGGTGAGAGATACACCTGTACCCGCCCAAATATGTGGTGAGAGCTAACACCTGTACTCCAACCTGTGGTGAGAGCTAACACCTGTACTCCAACATGTGGTGAGAGCTAACACCTGTACTCCATGTGGTGAGAGAGCTAACACCTGTACTCCAACATGTGGTGAGAGCTAACACCTGTACTCCAACATGTGGGTTCTTAATCTATTTGCTGATGATTGGGTTAACTATTCTAAGGCTCTTTTGGAGCTCCAGACGGATTACGCTCCAAAAGCAGCCTTCAAGACATTAGCACACATCATGGATTTATGGGTTACATAACATACATCGCTGGATATTCCAGAATAGAAGGGGTTGGCTGAGCAGGCGACAACCATGTTCGTGCAGACGCCAACATCATATATGTGTGAGCAAAGCTTCTCTGCTTTAGTTTTAATTAAATCAAAGAAAGGGAACGCAGTTTTGAATGTGGATCCCCTCCTGCAGGGCGCAGTCGGCTGATGCCAAACTTTCAACGGGGACAAAGTACAAGAGCAGCCAAGCCACTTAATCACCAAAACATTCATAATTATAACCTATGATTAATAAATAGTAATTTTGTTCTGAATGAAAAATTATATATCAAAATATAATACAATTCGAAATAGTAAATAAATACAAATGAAACTGGTGTTTTGCCCCTTTACCTATTAGCAAAAATTGGTAAGGACTTCGAGTGGATGACTTTTAAGTTTGATCACTTGGGATGTACAGGCTAAATGGCAATCTTAAAATCTTCCGTTTCTGTATGGAAAGGATCATATCCTGTTCATTACAAATGTATCTTTTACGGTTCACTTTACAGGTGATGAGAGGAGACGCTGGCTAACACATTCCTTCTAAGAGTAACGACCCTACCATTGTCTTCTCAAGGGCCACAACGGCCTACCATTCTCGACTGGACAGGACAATCCATTATATAATCTAAACTTTACAACACACAATTTCCTCATTATTCTTGTAATAATAGGAAATCTAAATTACATTGATTTCGTCTAAGGGTTGTAAGAGAAGCGAAATGTTTTCTTCTTCTGTAATTGGTCCTAAATTTCAAACTGGATCAAATATTTTCTGATCAGGTGGCAGTTCCCCACCCCCCCAGTGAGGGGTTCTAAGTAACCACAGTCCTCACCTAACCCAGCCTAACCAATGACAGACCTCAACCTAACCCAGCCTAACCAATGACAGACCTCAACCTAACCCAGCCTAACCAATGACAGACCTCAACCAACCCAGCCTAACCAATGACAGACCTCAACCTAACCCAGCCTAACCAATGACAGACCTCACCCAACCCAGCCTAACCAATGACAGACCTCACCTAACCCAGCCTAACCAATGACAGACCACCACCTAAACCAGCCCACCAATGACAGACCTCACCCAACCCAGCCTAACCAATGACAGATGTCAACCTAACCCAGCCTAACCAATGACAGACCTCACCCAACCCAGCTTAACCAATGACAGACCTCAACCTAACCCAGCCTAACCAATGACAGTCTTCAACCAACCCAGCTCACCAATGACAGACCTCATCTAACCAAGCCCACCAATAACAGACCTTACCTAACCAGGCTAACCAATGACAGATCTCAACCTAACCCAGCCTAACCAATGACAGTCCTCAACGAACCCAGCCTAAACTAAACAGACATAGAATTCAAATTCAACCCAGCCTAACCAATGACAGACCTCAACCTAACCCAGCCTAACCAATGACAGACCTCACCCAACCCAGCCTAACCAATGACAGACCTCACCTAACCCAGCCTAACCAATGACAGACCACCACCTAAACCAGCCCACCAATGACAGACCTCACCCAACCCAGCCTAACCAATGACAGATGTCAACCTAACCCAGCCTAACCAATGACAGACCTCACCCAACCCAGCTTAACCAATGACAGACCTCAACCTAACCCAGCCTAACCAATGACAGTCTTCAACCAACCCAGCTCACCAATGACAGACCTCATCTAACCAAGCCCACCAATAACAGACCTTACCTAACCAGGCTAACCAATGACAGATCTCAACCTAACCCAGCCTAACCAATGACAGTCCTCAACGAACCCAGCCCACCAATGACAGACCTCACCTAACCAAGCCCACCAATGACAGACCTCTCACCCACCACCACCAAAATAACAGCAATAAGTGTAAGTCAAACCTTCGGGCTAGGTGGTATACTGTTGCTATCGGCGGTGTGTTGTGAATCCAAGGAGGGGTCTCGCGAGGCACAAGTCACAACAGGTTTACGTCCAGGCGGTAACAATGGAAGAGTCCTGGTGGCAGCTGTAGCAGTAAGAATACAGAGAGTGAGTAACAGTATTTTAGCAATCATACACTATCGTAACATCATCATACAGCTATCGTAACATTATCATACAGCAATCGTAAAATCATCATACAGCTATCGTAACATTATCATACAGCTATCGTAACATTATCATACAGCTATCGTAACATTATCATACAGCTATCGTAACATTATCATACAGCTATAGTAACATTATCATACAGCTCTACCTTCACACAGGAACAACAACACACCAGCTCTACCTTCACACAGGAACAACAAGACACCAGCTCTACCTTCACACAGGAACAACAACACACCAGCTCTACCTTCACACAGGAACAACAACACACCAGCTCTACCTTCACACAGGAACAACAACACACCAGCTCTACCTTCACACAGGAACAACAACACACCAGCTCTACAGCCCCGCACAGGAACAACAACCCCACCATCCTGGCTTCACACAGGAACATCAACACACCAGCTCTACCTTCACACAGGAACAACAACACACCAGCTCTACCTTCACACAGAACAACAACACACCAGCTCTGCCTTCACACACAGGAACAACAACACACCAGCTCTACCTTCACACACAGGAACAACAACACACCAGCTCTACCTTCACACAGGAACAACATGAGCAGCAGCTCTACCTTCACACAGGAACAACAACACACCATCTGCAACTTCACAGGAACAACAACACACCAGCTCTTTATGTTCCACACAGGAACAACAACACACCAGCTCTGCCTTCACACAGGAACAACAACACACCAGCTCTGCACCTTCACACAGGAACAACAACACCAGCTCTACCTTCACACAGGAACAACAACACACTAGCTCTACCTTCACACAGGAACAACAACACACCAAGCTCTACCTTCACACAGAGACAACAACACACCAGCTCTACAGCTTCACACAGGGAACAACAAAACACTAACCTACCTTCACACAGGAACAACAACACACAAGCTCTGCCTTCACACAGGGAACAACAACACACCAGCTCTGCAACTTCACACAGGAACAACAGCACACCAGCTACCTTCACACAGGAACAACAACACACCAGCTCTGCCTTCACAGGAACAACAACACACCAGCTCTACCTTCACACAGGAACAACAACACACCAGCTCTGCCTTCACACAGGAACAACAACACACCAGCTCTACCTTCCACACAGGAGCAACAACACACCAGCTCTGCCTTCACAGGAACAACACTTGACAGCAGCTCCACTTCACACAGGAACAACAACACACCAGCTCTGCATTTCACACAGGAACAACAACACACACCAGCTCTGCAACTTCACACAGGAACAACAACACCAGCTTCAACCTTCACTGAGACAACAACACACCAGCTCCTACCTTCACAGGAACAACAACACACCAGCTCTGCCTTCACACAGGGAACAACAACACACCAGCTCTAACCTTCCACACAGGAACAACAACCCACTGGCCTGCCTTCACACAGAGACCAACAACACACCAGCTCTACCTTCACACAGAAGACAACAGCACCAGCTCTGCCTTGCACAGGAACAACAACACACTAGCTCTACCTTCACACAGGAACAACTTGCTTACTAGCTCTACCTTCACACGAGGAACAACAACACCAGCTCTACCTTCACACAGGAACAACAACACACCAGCTCTGCCTTCACACAGAACAACAACACACCAGCTCTACCCAGCCTTCACACCAGGAACAACAACACACACCAGCTCTACCCCTTCACACAGGAACAACAACACACTAGCTCTGCCTTCACACAGGAACAACAACACACCAGCTCTGCCTTCACAGGAACAACAACACACCAGCTCTGCACTTCACACAAGACAACAACACACCAGCTCTACCTTCACACACAGGAACAACAACACACCAGCTCTGCAGCCACACAGGAACAACAGCACACCAGCTCTGCCTTCACACCAGGAACAACAGCACACACCAGCTCTACCTTCACACAGGAACAACAACACACTAGCTCTACCTTCACACAGGAACAACAACACACCAGCTCTACCTTCACACAGGAACAACAACACACCAGCTCTACTGCCTTCACCCAGGAACAACAACACTAGCTCTGCCTTCACACAGGAACAACACTGGCTCTACCTTCACACAGGAACAACAACACACCAGCTCTACCTTCACACAGGAACAACCTTACCAGCTCTACCTTCACACAGGAACAACAACACACAGCTCTACCTTCACACGAGAACAACAACACAAACTCTACCTTCACACAGGAACAACAACACACCAGCTCTACCTTCACACAGGAACAACAACACACCAGCTCTACCTTCACACAGGAACAACAGCACACACAAGCTCTGCTTTCACACAGGAACAACAACACACCAGCTCTACCTTCACACAGGAACAACAACACACCAGCTCTACCTTCACACAGAGACAACAACACACTAGCTCTACCTTCACACAGGGAACAACAACACACCAGCTCTGCCTTCACACAGGAACAACAACACACACTAGCTCTGCCTTCCCACAGGAACAACAGCACACAACCTACCTTCACACAGAACAACAACACAAGCTCTGCCTTCTTTAGAACAACAACACACCAGCTCTACCCCTTCCCACACCAGGAACAACAACACACCAGCTCTGCCTTCACACAGGAACAACAACACACTAGCTCTACCTTCACACAGGAACAACCACACACCAGCTCTACCTTCACACAGAATTAACAACACACCAGCTCTGCCTTCACACAGACAACAACACACCAGCTCTGCCTTCACACAGAACAACAACACACACTAGCTCTGCCTTCGCACAGAGACAACAACACACCAGCTCTGCATGCACAGGAACAACAGCACACCAGCTCTACCATCACACAGAACAACAACACACCAGCTCTACCTTCACCAGGAATAACAGCACACTAGCTCTGCCTTCACCCAGGAACAACAACGCACCAGCTCTGCCTTCACACAGGAACAACAACACACCAGCTCTGCCTTCACACCAGAAACAACAACACACTAGCTCTACCTTCACACAGGAACAACAACACACCAGCTCTACCTTCACACAGAAACAACAACACACCAAAGCTCTACCTTCATGCAAGGGCAACAACACACCAGCTCTACCATTCCACACAGGAACAACAACACACACCAGCTCTACCTTCACACAAGAACAACAACACACCAGCTCTACCTTCACACAGGAACAACAACACACTAGCTCTGCAACCACACAGGAACAACAACACACCAGCTCTACCTTCACACAAGAACAACAACACACACAAGCTCTACCTTCACACAGAACAACAACACACCAGCTCTACCTTCACAGGAATAATAACAACACACAAGCTCTAATTTCACAGGAACAACAACACACCAGCTCTACCTTCACACCAGGAACAACAACACACCAGCTCTGCCTTCACCAGGAATAACAACACACTAGCTCTACCTTCACACAGGAACAACAACACACAAGCTCTACCTTCACACAGGAACAACAACACACCAGCTCTGCATCACACAGGAACAACAACACACCAGCTCTACCATCACACACAGGAACAACAAGACACCAGCTCGACCTTCACACAGGAACAACAAGACACCAGCTCGACCTTCACACAGGAACAACAACACACCAGCTCTACCTTCATACAGGAACAACAACACACCAGCTCTACCGTCACACAGGAAAAACAACACACCAGCTCTGCAACCTTCACACAGGAACAACAACACACCAGCTCTACCTTCACACAGGAACAACAACACACCAGCTCTACTGCCTTCACACAGGAACAACAACACACCAGCTCTGCTGTCACACAGAACAACAACACACCAGCTCTACCTTCACACAGAACAACAACACTGACTCTGCAGCTAAAAGCCACAGGGAACAACAACACACCAGCTCTACCTTCACCTGGGAACAACAACAACACACCAGCTCTACCTTCACACAGACAACAACACACCAGCTCTGCATCACACAGGAACAACAAGACACCAGCTCGACCTTCACACAGACAACAACACACCAGCTCTACCTTCACACAGGGAACAACAACACACTAGCTCTGCCTTCACACAGGGAACACACCAGCTCTACCTTCATACAGGAACAACAACACACCAGCTCTACCATCACACACAGGAACAACAAGACACCAGCTCTCTGCAGCCTTCACACAGGAACAACAACACACCAGCTCTGCCTTCATGCAAGACAACAACACACCAGCTCTGCCTTCACACGGAACAACAACACCAGCTCTGCCTTCACACACAGGAACAACACACACCAGCTCTACCTTCACCCAGGAACAACAGACACCAGCTCTACCTTCACACAGGAACAACAACACACCAGCTCCTTCACACAGGAACAACAACACACCAGCTCTGCCTTCACACAGGAACAACAACACACCAGCTCTGCCTTCACACAGGAACAACAACACACCAGCTCTACCTTCACACAGGAACAACAACAAACCAAGCTCTACCTTCACACACAGAACAACAACACCAGCTCTGCCTTCACACAGAACAACAAGACACCAGCTCTACCTTCACACAGGGCAACAACACACCAGCTCTGCCTTCACACAGGAACAACGCTTACACACCAGCTCTACCTTCACACAGGAACAACAAGACACCAGCTCTACCTTCACACAGAACAACAACACACCAGCTCTACCTTCATACCCAGGAATAACAACACACCAGCTCTGCTGTCACACAGGAACAACAAGACACCAGCTCTACCTTCACATGAACAACAACACACCAGCTCTACCTACACACAGGAACAACCAGACATAGCTCTACCTTCACACAGGAACATCAAGACACCAGCTCTACCTTCACACAGGAACAACAACACACCAGCTCTGCCTTCACACAGGAACAACAACACACACAAGCTCTACCTTCACACATGAACAACAACACACCCCAGCTCTGCCTTCACACAGGAACAACAAGACACCAGCTCTACCTTCACACAGGAACATCAAGACACCAGCTCTGCCTTCACACAGGAACAACAACACCAGCTCTGCAGCCTTTTTAGGAACAACAACACACAAGCTCTGCCTTCACACAGGAACAACAACACACCAGCTCTACCTTCACACAGGAACAACACAACAGCTCTGCAGCCACACCCAGGAACAACAACACACCAGCTCTGCCTTCACACAGGAACAACAACACGCAGCTCTGCCTTCACACAGGAACATCAAGACACCAGCTCTGCCTTTACTGGGGAACAACAGCACACCAGCTCTGCCTTCACACAGGAACAACAACGCACCAGCTCTGCCTTCACACACAGGAACAACAACACACAAGCTCTACCTTCACACAGGAACAACAACACCAGCTCTGCCTTTCATGCAGGAATAACAACACACCGCTCTACCATCACACAAGGAACAACAAGACACCAGCTCTACCTTCACACATGAACAACAGCACACCAGCTCTACCTTCACACAGGAACAACAAGACACCAGCTCTGCATGCACAGGAACATCAAGACACCAGCTCTACCTTCACAGGAACAACAACACACCAGCTCTGCCTTCACACAGGAACAACAACACACAAGCTCTACCTTCACACAGGAACAACAACACACCTGGCTCTGCCTTCACACAGACAACAACACACCAGCTCTACCTTCACACAGGAACAACAACACACCAGCTCTACCTTCACACAGGAACAACAACACACACAGCTCTACCTTCACACAGGAACAGCTAGAAAGACCACCAGCTCTGCCTTCACACAGGAACAACAACACACCAGCTCTACCTTCACACGGGAACAACAACACACCAGCTCTACCTTCACACAGGAACAACAACACACAAGCTCTACCTTCACACAGGAACAACAACACACACCAGCTCTACCTTCACACAGAGACAACAACCACCGGGGGGGTAGGATGCCTTCCAAAATGAACACTGTGACTCCTGTTGTCTCGGTAGGGTTGCCAAAATACTTCATCCGTTGTGTCATATTGGCTCAACACAATTTTATCATGGTAATTTTTTGAGCGACAGTATATATTTAAGTTATGTTCCGGAGTGTTATTCTATTATAGGTTGAATATACTATTTATCCAGGTATAACTCTCCCAATTATATCACCTAACCTAATCTCACTTAACCTAGCCTGACCTCACACACACACACACACACACACACACACACACACACACACACACACACACACACACACACACACACACACACACACACACACTGACAACATGTATATCAACACAAAACAATAATATACACTTATGAGACAATGTTAATTAACACCAAGAAAGAGTAAATTAAATTATAAGAATTGGCAGGTAGCCTTCCTGTTGGTCGTAACCTGTTGACGCCATCTGCATGAGGCCAAGATGAGGCGCTGCTCCATTCATCATCCTTCCTCCTCCCTCCCCTCCCACCTCCACCTCCACCTCCTCCTCCTCTCTACCTCCTCCTCCTCCTGCACCATTTGCGGAGGGCTTGCCTGGAACAAAAGAAAAGATCGCATTATTAATAGACAATCCGGTAACCTATGTCTTTTAATTCACAAAAACTTACAATATCATAAACAAAATAACCATGTCCTCTTGAGTACGATGTCGTAACCTCACGAGTACGGTGTTAGTGGACTCAATGGGGTTAACCAT